AGGAAGAGGAGATGGAACTGGTCCATCAAGAAAGGGGTACAATAGTGGAGGTTCCTACACCAAAACCTAAAAAGTCCAAGACTTCTTCCAAGAAGTCTTCTTCTGTGCCTCTGTCTGCTGAACCCTCATTAGCCAAGAGGACAAGGTCTGCAGTGAAAGCAAAACAAGCAAAAGTTTCAGATGATGAAGAGTGGAGTGGAGAAGAAGAAGAAGTGGAATCTGAGAAGGAACATGATAAGTTTGCCATCTTTGGCAGGAGAAAAATTCTGAAAGGAAGATTGTTGAAGGACCTGGGTGAGCCAGGGATGATCAGGTTGATTGACTCTTTAGCTGCTCAAGGTTGGAAGGACATGGTCCTTCAGATGGATGGGAAACTAGCCAGGAATGAACTAATTGAGTTCATGGCTAATGCTGCTGTAAAAGATGGGGTAGTCAGTAGCTTGGTGAAGGGAGTCTCAGTGCAGTTTGATGTTGAGAAGTTGGGGGAAATTCTGGAGATAACCTTTGAAGCGTTTGATGATTACACGAGGCAAAGGTGGCCATGCCTGGACTCCCTACCTACTGCACTTGAGATCACCAAAAGGTTCTGTGATTCAGAGGATGTGAGTGAAGCCAGGGCTGTGCAGAAAAGTGAGATGAGGCCTGAGCACAAGGTGGTGTTTGAGTTTGTCAACAAGTGCCTACTGCCCAGACAAGAGAGAAGACATACTGCAAACTACATGGACCCGGTTCTCATGGAGTGCCTTGAGAGAGGAAAGCAAATCAACTGGCCTGCCCTCATTGTCAAGTTGCTAGACAGGGTCATCAATGGCTCTAAGGCTCATGCTACTCCATATGGCTTCATACTGACCACAGTTCTGGATAGGCTGAATGTGCCTTTGAAGAAATGGGAAATGGCATCAAGCAAGGAAGATTTTGGCATTAAGACTCTTCTGGCTTGTGACTATCCAGTCAGTGCCATCCCAGTTGAACCTGGTTCATCTCTGAAAACACCCATCAACAGCAAGGTTAGGACTTTGGTTTAGGAATGTGGAACTAAGGATGCTGAGATTGCTGGGCTCAAGGCTCGTGTGGCTGAATTGGAGATTGAGAGGGATGACCTTAGAACTGAGCTAGCAAAACAAAAGGAGAAGAGTGATGGAATTCTTCAGAATATGCTGAACCTTCTCCAGACTCAACCCTCTAGTTCCTCCAAGCCTTAGGTCTCCTAGCACCTGTCTTCTGAACCAGTCTAGTAACCCAGTGAATCCCAGTGACCCGGATTAGGGATGTTTCTATTTTTTTTGCTCATGCTTTGAAGGTTTTTCTTTCTTTTTGTGGACTGTTAATGACAACATATCATGATCAATGACAACAACTATTTTCTCTTGTTCTATGATGATTCTGATCTTGATAGTTTAAATATGTTTGTTGATTATTGATAATTGCACCATGTTTTCACTTGCAGTTGCCCCAGTGGCCATGAGTACTTTTTAAAATCTGGGTTTCACATTAAATATGCAACTTTTCGATGATGCCAAAAGGGGGAAGATATTGTGCTTTATACATTATTCTGAATAAGTGATTTATAACCTAATTAACCTGGTCCTTGATGAAAAGAAAATCTAGTGTTAGTGTTGGTTAAGCTGAGTTCTTACAGGTCTTTTGATCATTAAAAAGCATAGAAGTTCGTCATCATGAAAAAGGGGAAATTTGTTGGCCCAAGAACATGTGAAGTTTTGAAGACTGACAAATGAACTCAGTCATGGACCAGGTCCATCATGTGAAGCACAGTGATGATCAATCTATGCATGTGAGATGCACGTGAAGGAGATAAGTCTCATTGATCCAGCAGCAACATCTCCTGAATCTGATTGAAAAGGTTGCATATTGGATAAGGGAAGAAAGTCTCCTTATGTGAAGAGAACACAATCCGGATAAAAGATAGTGTTGGAGTTTGTGTATTTTAAGGACTCAACCTCGATGGAAGATCAGCAATTGAGTCTTAATCAAACTCTAATTACTAACTCATTAAATAATAGTGATTGTTCTCTTTTACAGGGATTGCACAAACGCAGAAGTTAAACTAAATTGAGAGCAAAACAGCAAGACAATTTTGCAAGCAATTTATGTGAGATTTGAGTGTGCACTCCTAAAGCTACTTGAACGAGATAGAAGAACCAATTCCATTGTGTCTTTCTTTATTTCTAGTTCAATTGTAGTAGGTGATTTAAACTTGTACCTTTCAGCTTTCATAGAAGCAATTGTATTAGGTACTTAGAGTGTTCAAGTTATATGCTAACTTGAAGTTGTCGCAACAGTTGAGGCTGTGTGCTACAACAGGATTAGAGTTAATCCTTAGGTTTACAAAGAGTTTTGTAAATGCTGTTTTGACTCAGTGATTTTAGTGGAAGTTTGGGAAAATCCTACTGAGTAGTAGGTCGTGATTTTTTCACCTTTTGAGCTAGGTGTTTTCCACGTAAAAATCTCTGTGTTCTTTATTTTATGTACTTATTATTCCGCAAACAGTAGAGTTAGTATACCTAGAAGAACCAGGTTCTTCTAGAGCGCAAAATTGGGTACCACACAAATCACCCCCCTCTTGTGTGGTATTGACGTATAAAATATCAAACCTACTACAAACCAGTAATTCGTCCGAATTTAGATCATCCATGCTCCGGAGGGGTATAGTGAACATAACATAATATAAAAATTAATTCCGAGAAAAAATTTGCACTTTATAGTGAATGGTTGTTATATAGGGATGCTGTTATAGAGAGGGCAGAGAGGTCTGACTGTATGTTAATATGATTGTGTATATGGTAAGTGAAAATATTAAACACATTAATACACTAGTTTGATAAGAAAAAAGACATTACAGCAAAGTTCACCATTTAACAATTATTGAATAATATTCATGAAAGTTTCAAAAGCCATTTAAAATAATATTATGAATGAAATGATATTGAACAATTTTTTTTTTTGGTAATTAAACTTTCTATTTACCAGGGAAAAGTATTTACAAGTAATACAAAACCCATACATTCCATCCTACACTTCTATGTTCCCCTCCCTCCTTTATCATAAGAATATTTTATCTATTACAAGGGTACCAATTCAGGCTATTCAAACAAGTTCCTAAGTATTTGTTGTTTCTACAGTGGACTTCTTGCACAATCTGTTTGCATAATGCTTCCCATCCCCTTTCTCTTGCTTGAAAAATTCTTGCATTTCGTTCTTGCCATACATAATACACTGCTGCAGCTAAGGTCATCTTGAACAGTTCTGTTTTTGGATTCCTTCGCTTGGTAAAATGTGTTGCCCATATCATCTCTTGATCCCATCCCTGTGTTCTCCTGTTAATACCTTGCCAACTTAACAATCTGCTCCATAATGCTCTTGAGTATTCACACTCAAAAAACAAGTGTTGAATACTTTCTCTTCCTGTTTTGCACAGCACACATTCTTCCTCTACTTGTATACCCCATTTCTGTAGTCTATCCTTTGTATATAACTTGCCATGAGCCGTCAGAGTTAACATAAAGGACCATCGTGGACAACCTGCATTCTGGCACACAACTTTTTTCCAGCTCACCTTTTCAAAAGTTCCTCGCAGCCTGTGGTATATTGCTTTGATACTGCATTTCTTGGTTCTCTTTACATCTTCATAGTTGAAACCTGCCTTATCAAGTGTTTCCTTTGCCTTAAGTATCTTCCCCACAATCCATGATGCTTGTTTCACCTGCATACCCCATACTTCTCTGCCTTTGATGTAGTAGCTATGGATCCACTGAATCCACAGCTTATTCTTCTCTCTGCATAAGTCTCAGTAATGCTTGCATATTGCTGCCTTATTCCATAATGCTATATGCATGATGTTGAACCCTCCTGCTGTCTTGGGCATGCAAATCTTCTCCCATGCTAAAAGTGCTTTTTTTGATACATTACTCTCACCTGTCCATAGGAAGCTCTTGCAAATAGACTCTATTAGCTTTGTAATCTTTTTGGGCATCACAAAGATTTGTGCCCAGTATGTCTGTACAGCAAATAGGACACTTTTAATAAGCTGTATTCTTCCAGCATAGGACAGGAATCTGGTAGTCCATGATGTTATTCTTCCTACAATCTTCTCAATCAAGGGTTGGCATTGTGCAATGGAAATTCTCTTTGTGCTTAGTGGAACTCCTAGTTATCTCACAGGTAGTTCCCCCTTCTGTATTCCCAGGAAGTTTAGCATCTCATCTTGATTCTCTTGTGTAATTCCTCCACAGAATAAAGAGCTTTTGTTCTTGTTGATCTTCAGCCCAGAAGCTTTTGAGAACTCTTGAAAGCCATTGAATATAAGCTGGACTAACTTCAAGTCTCCCCTGCAAAACAGTAAAAGGTCATCAGCAAACCCAAGTTGCAAGATTTGCATCTTTGCACACTTGGGGTGGTAGTTGAAATCTGGATCCTTGTTGAGCATTTTCAGCCTTCTTGTCAAGTATTCCATTGCAATTACAAATAAGTAAGGGGATAAAGGGTCCCCTTGTCTTAATCCTCTTTTTGCTTCAAAAGGTCTAGTTTGAACTCCATTAATCAGAATTGTGTATGTGACTGTCCCTATACACCTCATTATCCACCTAACAAACTGTGCTGGGAAATCTAATGCATGCATCATTTGTTCCATAAAGTCCCACTCTATTGAATGTCAAGTTTCATCATGCACCTAGGAGATACTCCTTTCCTCCCATACCCTTTAACCAACTCATGGCTCAATATGATGTTATCAGTAATAGCTCTTTCTGGTACAAATGCTGCCTGTGAGTTGTCAACCAAATCATCCATAACACACTGTAGTCTTTTAGTTAGAATCTTGGAAATCACCTTGTAAATCACTGTGCAACATGAGATGGGCCTGAATTCTTTTATACTTGTTCGGTTTTTGACTTTAGGTATCAAAGTTATAGCTGTGCTGTTAACTGGTTTATACATTTGTGCAGTCTCAAAGAATTCCTCCATAGCCAGTGTCACCTCTTCACCTATACTACCCATGCCTTTTTGAAAAATACTGCATTGAATCCATCATATCCTAGAGCCTTCAGATCATTAATCTCTTTCAATGCCTCTCCTATTTCTTCCTTAGTGACTTGTCTGATCAGGTGCATTTGTTGTTCTCTACTTAATGTAGTTCCCATTTTGATTACATTAGGATTGATAGCTGGAATGGAATCATCTTTTGACCCTAGTAGTTTCCTGTAGTAACCAAGGACTTCTGCCTCTATTTCATCATCTAGAACTAACTGCCTTCCCATATCATCTGTTAGAATTTGAATTCCATTTGTACTGTTCCTATGCTTCATCTGTGCAAAGAAGTATCCTGAATTGGAGTCTCCCAGTTTCAGCCATTGCACCCTTGATTTCTGTTTGTAGACACTTTCCTCAATCTGCACCCACTTTTCTAATTCCTGCTTCAGTATCTTCTCTTTCTCAATTAGCTCAGTGTCTTGCATTCTATTGCTCATGTCTTCCTGTATTGTTTGCAACTCTTTCCTTGCCTCTTTAATTTTTCCTTCCAGTCCTTTGTAATGCTTTGTATTTAGATCCTTGACAAGCTTCTTAGTTCTCTTTAGTTTATGCCAGACTGTTTGCATTTTACCAGCTTCCTTTCCCTCCTTCCAAGCCTTTTCAACTTGTTGGATAAAGAGAGGATGATCATCAATACAGTTAACGAATCTGAATGGTCTGCTTTTCTTTGTATGCCCCTGTGTGATCATCAGCTTCAGAGGAGAATGGTCAGATATTAGTGGCTCTAATACCTGAATTTTCAAGCTAGGCATATTCATCATCCACTCAGTGTTCACCAGCCCCTGTCTATCCTACTATATGTATGGTTATTTGTCCATGTATAACCCCTTCCCACAGATTGTAATTCATTCATACCTGTATCCATCATGTACTCCTTGAAGTCTTTCACTTTCATGTCCTGCACTTCTGATCCATGCTGTCTATCTGTTACATGAAGTACTGCATTAAAATCACCCATTGCCAGCCAGGGACGTTGTTGATTGCTATTAATCTGCCTCAGCTTATCCCACAAAGGTTTCCTATCTTTGATGGTATGTAGCCCATATACTGCTGTGAACCCAAACTTAACTGGCTTTGACTTCATGCTAATCTGCCCATGAATAAGCTGTTCATCAATTTCCCTAGGATCAAAGATGTATATTCTAGGATCCCATACTACCCATATTCTTCCTTTTTGTCCTGTTCTAGCATTAGAGACCCATTCCCATCCTGGAGCTATCTTTTTGATTATTTCATTGGCTTTCAAGTCTTTAACTCTGTGCTCTACTATAGCTATTACAGCTTTATTATTTATTCTAACAAACTCCTTTACTTCTTTCTGCTTATACGTTTTATTCATCCCTCTAACATTCCAAGTTACAACACTCATACTGGAATGAAATAAGGATAATGATAGTACCCCTGCTCCCCTTGGCTACTGATCTGGCTAGTACCTGCTACTTCACTCCTTTGATCATACATCAAGCTCTGGAAAGCATTAAGTTCATCAATACTGTGAACTTCTTGTTGCTTAGTTGTGGTTGCTCTTGCTGCTGATTTGCCTGCTACTGTGATCCATCATGCTTCCTTGTTTTGCATTCCATCTCTCCCTTGATCTGTCTCAGTCCTTTGTTGTCCTGAGCATTCTTTTGTCTGGTCTTTTTCCTTATTTTCGTTTCCTTCTTCTTTATCTGCTCTAACCCATATCATTCTACCCTTATTAGCCTTCTTCTGCTGTATATTTCTTTGTTGTTGCATTGGCTTCCTGTTTTCAGCATAGTCATGACCTATTTTCAAACACTTACTGCAGTATTTAGGTTCCCAGTCATACTCCACCACCTGCATCATCTCCTTCCCTTTAGGATCCTGAAGTTTCACCTGTCCTGGAAGGGGCTTAGTGATATCCATTTCTACTAGTAATCGAGCATATGAAATCCTTACTGCTCCAGTCATACACTCATCAGCATAAATAGGGTTACCCAGGGCACTTTCTATTTTGCTTAAAGCAGTCATACTCCACCAATTAACAGGTAAATTAGGCAGCTTAACCCACAATGGGATTGTCTTTAGCACCTCATCATGTAGGTTGAACTCCTCCGACCATGCCTTCATAATTATTGGTCGATTATTGATCGTATGTGGTCCTGAGTACAAGACTTGGTCCCTTTCCTCAATACTACTGAATCGTATAATGAAATAGTCTTCATTGTGGTAGTAGATCTGAGGTTTCGCTGAGTACTTACCCATTGAATTCACAAATCTGTCCATAGCTCCAATTGAGGGTGATTCACCTATTACATATATGACAATGGCATTTTTCCATTTTTCAGTCTCCTGTTCCACATCATCAGCTTCGAGCTTCACCATTTTCTCCCCATTTTGCACAATTGGGGCAATAAATTGTAGATTCATGCCCTTCATAGCCAATTTGTTCCCAACCACCACATTTACAATGTCCCAAAATTGATAACATTATCATATTAATTACACAGAAGGAGTCACAACTGACCCTTGCAACAACAGTTTTCATCACCATAGAAATTTCATCTTCTAAAAAAATCTGTTAGATTATGTACCACCAACCGATAAGTTGAAGGTTCGCGTCGTATGAAGTGTTACGAAAGTACCACGATCAATACTCCCAAGGTCGGAAGGGGAGATAAATTGGGCAAAAATTATTTTTAGCCCGTGACCGAAACTATTTATATCCGGTAGCCGCAAAAGTATATAAAATTTATATATTTTTGTATATAACATACATAAAAAAATACACACACACACATACACACACACACACACACACAACACACCATATATATATATATATATATATATATATATATATTATTTTTGTCGGCTATTATTTTGAGAGCGACTATACAGTATCATTTTCTGAAAAAAAAATTACAGCCTCAAAATTGTCTACAAACTTGATAAGTAGAAGTGTGGTTGTGTTTTTTTTGTTTTTTTTAAAAAAAAAAATTCAAATCCCACCTAACTTAAGGGGGAAAAAAAGGAAAAAAATACAATAGTTTATATAGCATATATTTTCTTGTATTCATCATTGTCATCAGAGAGGACTGAATCTGATAAATCCAATGACTTGCTAGCCATAGAGTTCTTTCTCATGCTCTTCTTGTTTGATGACTCAATCCTATGGCTTATAACCCAAAATAACATTACTCCAATTGTTGAAATCATTATAACTGCTCCAAGAATTGACACAATAATTGCCATCAGCCTATAACGTGTGCCAACAACAACAAATGACAGTGCCAAATATGCCACTGAAACAAGCACACAAGCCACCCACATTAGCTTGTTTATAATTGACATCAACTTCTTCTTTGCTTTGCTTTCAATGACCACAACTGTTGTCTGAACAACCACAACTGCAAGCGAGATGAATAACGCGATAGAGTCGAAGACAAAGAAAACGAGAAATCCAGGGTGGTTCGATATGTTTGCTTCTCCAATTATATGGCCAGGTGGGAGGTTATCTGGATCCATATAGTATTGCCCTGGCACTTGAAATATTCCTGCAAAGGCAACTGTGGCGATTAGTACAGCAACGACAGTTGTTGAGTTGATCGCGTTGTTTAGGCCTTCTCGATGCATTTTGTGGAGGCGTTTGGCAATGCCTTGTATGCGTTTTCTTGTCTGTCGCGTGTGTTTTAACTGATCGTGCACCTCGTGTTTGATGTCACTAACCGTTTGCTTCAACTCTCTTGCTGGATTTATTGCCTGTGGTTTGAGAACTCGTGCACTTTCAACGCCATGTTCCTGTAGGATGGCTACAGTCTCAGCCTGTGACATTTTCTCAGCAGTGTCGAGAGCTGTCTCGTGGGACCTATTGATCACTTTTTTGTCTGTTTCATTCTGCCCAAGTAGCAATTTAACAATCTGCAATATCAGTCAAAGCAAGTCAGCTCTCCATATGATCAACAATTCCACTTCATTTATACTATCAACAATTTGGTTCATATATGAAGTAATAACCGGTACAAGTGGCCTAGCTGTTTTTGGAAGAATATGAGCATTTTAATATTCCATCAACCATATATAGACTTTTTACACTTAAGTTACTAATAAGCACTAGCAGCATCATGCTCAAAGAAGAAAGGGCAGCCCGGTGCACTAAGCTCCCGCTATGCGCGAGGTCCGGGGAAGGGCCGGGCCACTAGGGTCTACTATACGCAGCCTTACCTGCATTTCTGCAAGAGGCTGTTTTCACGGCTCGAACCTGTGACCTCTTGGTCACATGGCAGCAACTTTACCAGTTACGCCAAGACTCTACTTCTGCTCAAAGAAGAAGCAACCAAAAATAAAATCAGTCGAACATGTCTTTCAAAGTGAGTGAGCAATGAACAAAAATATATACTCCGGGATAAAGTGTTTTGACGGCCAAAGGAAACCTGATATCAAGAGACTTCTCTAGCCAACTCTAGCGTGTAATCAACAAAACAAGGCCCCTTTGGCATTTGTTCCAGGGCAAGGAATACATCAATGACACGAAAAGAGCGTAAATTGTCTATAAGCGAAAGGTGCAAAAAGAACAGAACATCCTCTAAATTCTGGTTTCTATTCCACTATTTCTTCTGATGTAATTTAGTATCGCTAAATTAACAGAATAGCAAAAGGGGAACTGTTTGCACTAAAACAATGTCTTAAAGCCTCTAACTAGAAATTGATTCCATCTCTTGTTCTGGTAAACATAGAACACTCATTAACTAAAGTATCATCAGTACAGCAGAAGTTTTAGATGAAACATACCTCCGACCTCCCTTTTCGAGCTGCAATATGCAATGGCGTATTACCCTTATTGTCAACCATGTTAATTAATGAAGGATCAGTTTTAATCAGCTCCACCACAACCTCAAGGTTTTGTCCTTTGACAGCCATGTGAAGTGCAGTCTGTCCTTTATTATCCATCCGTGTCGCAATCCCTGGCTCCCTACTCAAAAGAGCCTTCAAAACCTGCAAATGTCCATTCCTTGCAGAAGAATGCAGCGCTGTTTTCCCGTTACTTTTAGCTATAGTGGCCAGACTGCTTTGTTCCTCTAAGAAATAATTCACCACCTCTATATGCCCTTGGTTTGCTGCAGTATGCAAAGCTGTTGTATTTGCAACATCAACTGTCATCGCTAGCTCTGGATGTGCTTCCAGTAGTACCTTCACCATATCTGCAACATTCCCAAAAATGAACAAACAACAACAACAATGACAACAATGCCTCAATCTAAAGCAGGTTGGGGTCGGCTATAAAAAGGGGCAGCCTAGTGCATGGAGGAAGTGCCACATCCCAAGGGGGTGTGACGTAGGCAGTCTACCCTGATACAAGCATAAGTGGCTAAAACAGGACCGGCAATATAAATCCTTAGTCGCTCCATTTAAGCTCATACTGTCCAATAAATATTATACAAAATAAAAATAAGAAGTACTAGAAAGTTCTCTATATATAATCTCAAACAAAGAATTGAAGTTCATCTAAATCTCATAAATTTGACACCAGAAAAATGGAAAGGCTAAGGTGATACTAGCAGTTCATATATAAATCATCCAAAAGCTTACCTAAATCTCCTTGTTTGGCGGCAATATGCAATGCATCAAACCCGTTCCTCGCTTTGATTCCAGCTGCGACAAGATCATAGTACATGATCATCTCCCTAACCACCTCATAATAACCATATTCAGCTGCAACATACAAGGGGGTCTCTCCTGCTGAATTTTGCTTTATCAACAACTCCGCTAATTCTTCCTCGCCCGTGTTCTTTATAGTCTCTCTTATTGCAACAATATTTCCAGCTCTAGCTGCCGAATGCAACGCAGAATCATCACGTTTCCCCGTTAATTGTTTCGTCATCTTTTTCCGGGGTGTGGTTGGCTGAGCTATTGGTGCCTCCATCTTATTAAAACTGCCCAAAACCCCACTTCCTCTTCCCTCCCTATGCTAATCTTGAACCACAATCCTTTTTTTTCTTCCCTCAAACACTCAAATCAACAATCATATTTTTCAATTCTAATGAAGGTTCAAGAGCCAACATGAAAAACTTTATTCTATAATCACACTTCCTCGATTCATCAAAGCGAAAAACTTGAATTTCACTCACATTCCTTTTCAAGTTTGAGCCAAAATCAATACCCTGGTAACAACAACAACAACAACAAAATAAACAACAACCAACAACAACAAACCCAGTATAATCCCGAAGTGAGGTCTGGGGAGGGTAGTGTGTACGCAGACCTTACCCCTACTCCTACCTGGAAGGTAGAGAAATTGTATCCGATAGACCCTCGGAACGTCATAAACAGCAAAATCTTTAAAATATTTCTTTTTCCACATGAAGAAAAGCATTCATTTTCAATTTTTGACCTCAATTCATGATTTTCAATACACTATCTAGCCACCAATTTTTTTTTTTGAAGCTTTGTTACCTTATGGCCATTTTCTTCTCCTTCTAAAGTGCATGCATTACATAATCAAAATATTGCCAATAATAATAAAGAAAAAGGGAAAATATTTACCTGGATATGAAGAAACTTCTGAAACTTCCAACTTTTCATAAAAATTCAAGAACCCCACAAAAAGAAAGAGCTTTTTTTTTTTTGTGATAAAAACAACCAATGTGTATTACTTTTAATAAATGAAAAAAAAAAGCTTCTAAGAATTATGGGGGTGTCCTAAGAAGTTGGAACAAGGAAAATGTAAAAGTATAGAATTGCTAGAGAAAAAGGGAATGAAAATGGCACATGCATTCACCAAACAATTTTTTTGTATTTGTATAAATAATAAGTGAGAATCACCACCCACTGAGTTCTTGAACAAAAAGAAAAAAGAACCAAAAAAATGGAACTTTTTCTGAATTTGGTGGTGATGAAGAGGATGGTGATGATTTGAATTTTGAGAATCACATTTGAAATATTAATGGTTATTTTTTATTTTTTATTATTATAATTTTCTTTCAATAATTTGATATGAAACAGAAGAAAAAAACTGCTCCCTCTGGTTGGTGAATAATTTCACTAACCATATTACCAGAAGGTCTAGACCGCACACATATATATTCTTTACAAAAGTAAAGCGTGTACCACGCGCTCTCAGGAGCTAGAAGCAATTGTTTTACATTTGTGCATGTAATTTTTTTTTAGACATATCACTCCAAAATGGAAAGACATAGAGATTATTATGTTTTTTCCAAAAATTGAAACACTTATCCTTAAATGGTGTTTGGCTTGATTTTTTATTTTTTGGTCGGAAACGTTGAGAAAGTTTTAATTAAAATTATTTTCACTCTTTTTGAAACAAATGCGACCAAGTTTTTCAGCTTCTTAAAAACTGAAAATAAATCTTCTTTCTTAATATTTTGTTGAATTTTGTCTTTTGATTTTAAAAAAAGTTTGATTGAGATACTTCTTCAATT